CCCCAATTGTGATTCACATCTGCAATCGTTTCCCAGTATAACCATTCACACCAGTGTCGCCCTCCTCCTCGTTCCCAGGGCATGTACATCAAGTCCACCTACGATGGGCTACACATCATCACCGGCACCACAGAAAATGTGAGTATGATGATGACTTAGGGTTTGGGGCAAGTAGGACTCCCACCAGCAGGGGGTGCCCTATTTGAATGACCTTTTCTCCTCCTGTTCTTGAAGTGATAATGTTGTCCATTGTCTTTTACTGCGAAATTTTTCCTGTAGGGTTTGGCGATGATCCGTAATGTTAGCAGTGTTATTTAAGCAAATTTTAAACTATAAGAATTTACCTTCCCCGTTAGTTTCGTCCATCTACGGTGACGTTCAGATTTTGTGGTATCTCTGATAATTTATGAATTATATAACCTTATTTATGTCCAATAAGATATGCTTTATAATAATATTCATGTTGGTAATGCCATGGATTTTGAGTTTTGTGTAACATATTTTTCTAGTCTTGACGGTTCTCTCACTTTTGGTTTGAAAAGGTCTTTTGACTAATATGTTTTACATCCCATAAATGCCCTTTGTGCATTGTTAGGAGTGATATATGATACATATAGATCCTGTGCTCACCTAAAACTCCACCCACACCCCCGAGCCTGTATAAATCTTGCTGGTATGACAGACATTGTTTGAAAGCACATTGTTTTGGGGGGGAGGGGCGACAGTGAGAAGTACAGGCGGCAGCGAGTGCCCCCCCCCCCCCCCCCCCCCCCCCCCCGCTCTCCTCATAGGTGGGGAACAGTTTCCTGCTTTTTGTGGCACCCGTTGCCCTTTCACAGCCCCGGAACAGTGGATTAGCACCCTCCAACTGCACGGGAACAGCCTCAACCCGTGTGTCGATCGCTTTGCATGATGAATGTCGGTCACGCTGCAGCTGACCGACACGTGGGCAGCAGCACTGAAGCACTGCAAAAGATGAAAGGGCAAAAATCCAGGCGTTCTTTGCAAGGGAGATGTTAACATTTCCTTTGAACCCCAAAAACAATAATGGAATTCTATAGTATGCAGGGTTTATTGCAGGGTTCTGGTCCTCCAGGACCAGAATTGGGCAGGTCTGCTTTATCGTGATGTTCAGTTTCAGTCGGACTTCCCTGAACTTTTGAAGCTCTGCCTTAACGATACCTAGTAGGAAACGTTCAGGTCCTGCAGTTAGCTGTAGTCATTCACTGCAGAGCTTAGCTGTCCTGTCTGTTCTCCATCGTTTTAGGATCTCTCCAAAATCTGGGTGTCTGTTAAGTTTAATGGTTTCACGGTCACATCCCATGCTGGCATCCCTCGGTGGAAAAACTTGTAGAAGTGGTCAAATGTGTGCTTAATGTGTTCTTGGGTGCACTTTGATGGATGCAAGGGACAAGTACGCATGTGGTGCTTGTGATCTCCCATGTACGCTCCTCAACATTTTTATCTTAACATGCAGGAATTAGATGGAGATATGATCTGGACAATGCTGTAATGCAGTGTTTCCAAATCCAGTCCTCGGAGACCCACAGATGGTCCACGTTTTTGCTCCTTGCCAATTTGTCTGCTGGTCCCTGAGGACTGGGTTGGAAATTACTGCTGTAACAAGGGCTTTAGGTATTGGGTGCCAAAGGTTTGTTGTTGTTGTTGTTGTTGGACTAACCCAGCCACGTTCCAACCCCTTTAGCCAGACTGCTGCCTTGACGCAGGCTTTTGTCTGACCGTGTTTTCTTTGACTCCGCCCCCGTAGGCTTGGATGACAGCCTCCAGCAATACGTCTACAAGTTCGAACAGGAAAAGATCAATGGCGAACAGCTGCTGAAGATCTCGCACCAGGACCTGGAAGAGCTGGGCGTCACCCGGATCGGACACCAGGAGTTGGTGCTGGAAGCCGTGGACCTCCTCTGTGCCCTGGTCAGTGCTAGAATATCAGCCTCTAACCCAATGTGTTTTCGTTTCAGTCATACAGTTTGGCCAGGGCTTGTGTCCATCGCACCAAGTTGTGTGAATCCCACGTTAAACCGAGTCGTGGCATCTCCAGTTTCTCCTGAGGAACTCCCTGTCTAACCATGGTGATTGCTACTGGCCACCTCTGGCCTTTGGCTGCCATAGTGCATTTCTCAAGACCATTTGTGGGCCAGGAAAGGCACTTATTGTTTGTTCGCAGTGTCTGCTCGGAATTCTCAGCATTCCGTCCCATGCTTCCCGCTCAGTGGTGAGTGACGGTCCCTGGTCTCATTGCCAAGGCTTTTTTTTTTTTGCATTGGCAGGCAGGTATTGATTGAAAAACCCTTTCTTCATCAAAACAATAAAAATTATCAGATCTCCCCCCCCCCTCCCCACACCCCCCATCTCCACATCCTGGTTTGGACAAAGTCCCTTCTCCAGAGCGGACTCGACTCCAGGCCCGTTTTCTGTGTCTGGCACATGTTCGGTGCCTAGCGTGACACAGATAAGATGTGTATCTCTGGGCTGTGGTGTCATGAGTTACAGGGACGCTCCGCACAACCCGGCTCACATGCATGATCTAGCAGGATATGGAGTCGTCATCCTAGCATGGCCAATAAAGAGGTTTTCCTTTTTGAACTGCTAGGCCTAAGTCTACAAGAATGTTTTGGATCCCATACTGTTCACCTATGCATTTATTGTTAATTGCTAATAATATCATTGGGTACTGTTACCATGGGGACCAAGTGAACCCTGGAACTAAATAGGCAACCAGGATATTTATGTGTTTAATATGTTGTTACCATGGACTGCAGGTCAAACAAGGGTGTGGACTTGGATGTGAACTAATGCACATTCTTTGCGACTCAGTTTACCTCGTATCTATTGTACAAACAAAGCAGGGCCGTGGGCAGAATTTCAGCAGATTTTCAGGGTCAGAACGGAAAGCACATCGCATTTTGGTTTGGGTCACGTAAAGGAGGCCTGTTGGACAAAATACTGTCCCAACTTTTGGGCCATCGTGTGACCGTGGACAGGATTCCTTTGTCCCCAACCCCCACAGCTCAATAACTGGGCCGCGTAAGATGCATTGTTCATTGTCCCGGTCCGGATGGACAGGGAATGCAAAGTGATTCCTGCTCTGGAAATATTCACGACATCCCTGATTACACCACTTTCTATAAATTATTGATGGGGGGGCTTTCTAAGGAAAAGATTTCCTTCGAGGTCCACGAATGAGTCAATGCTTTGTTTTGCGCATAAAGTCATTGATACGGTTGTCCTGAGCTCTCCCCCTCCACGTGATTTGGCCTGCTGATGTAACGACTATTAAGGGACTCTGAGGATTTCCTGCCCCCCTCCCTGATGAAACGGACAGGCAGGCGGTCATAAGACAGTTTGGTACCCTTCCTCGTGCCTCCCTCCCAACCAGCACAGGGGTTGGGGACTGTGTGTGTGTGTGTGTAGCATATTGTTGCAGACAACCAGGACGTTTGGAAGCTTAATGACCATTAGCTGTGGGGTCTCGGCATACACAAGCAGCACCTGTCCTACGTCCCCGTAACCAGGGTAGTTTACAGGGGAGGACAGCTGATTGGCTCCCGGAGTGCTCCCTTCCCTGTCACTCACTGAGCTAAAGCATATGATTGGCTAATAATATGGTTGGCCCTTCTTATGCCGCCGCCTCCCCCAACCGCCGCCATTTATCCAAGAATCGGCCCAGCCGTAATGTGGGGCTTCGCTCAAGCAGATTTCATGTCAGCGTTGGCATCTCCTGAAGCGACCTCAGCCGACCTCAGGACGGCGTTGCGAGGGCTGTCTTTGTACGGTCCTGGCAAATTTCCATATGTATGGCTGAGCCATTAAATCAAAGATGTTCTTGGTGTATGATGTTTTAATAAACTGCTGTGGGACCCTGTTGATGGCTTATGCTGCGACTCCAAACACCCCCCCCCCCCCCGCCACTGGGACCCCCCGTGTCCGGGACGGGCCCCGGTGGCTTTAGAAGCCAGAGAGCAGCGAGCAGAGGTGGATAATTCAGGCTTGGAAAGTAAAAATCCAGACCAAGATTTTGTTTCAACCAACCAGTTGAGTATAAAGAGTCACAGAGTACTCAACTGGCTAGAAATGTCAGGTTGCCGCTGTGTGATGGTCTCTCTGTGCTGGAGAGCAGGAAACAGATGTGACCTCTCCTACTACCCATACTGAGTGAGATCTGCCGCAGAGGAGGTGATGGAGGAGGAAGTCCCTACCCCCCCTCCCATCTGCAGGTGTGGGAGGCCCGAAAATGACACCCTTTCCCCTCCTCTTCCCCTTCCACTTATAGAAGGACATTTTTTCCCCAACACCTGTTTGAAACAGCGCCCCCTGCCTGTTTTTATGCTACTTTCCCAATCCCTTTCACTGCACCAATCCCCATTTATGGTACTTTCCGCCATTTAATGCTGGTCAGCTTACGTCAGTGAATAAATGAGCTTGTGTGTAATTATCCGGCTAAAAATTTCTTTCACAGTGACTGTCCTAAATGTTGTGGAAGTTAGTTTGTCTGAAGACCTGTTTGAAGTCCAAAATTCAACACACAGTGACACTTTTATTAACCCTGAAGTCTCCATTTCAGCTCCTCAACAGGGCATTTATGTGTTTGGTCATTGGCACTTGATCTAAGACTGGTCTGCAGTCTGGTACCGCTAAAAGCCGCCACCGATTACAGTTTAAGGGGTCTGGGCAGGTTACTCATTCCCGTTACATGCGAGGCGCAGTGAGCGCCAGGCATGCGCAGTGAGCGCCAGGCATGCGCAGTGAGCGCCAGGCATGCGCAGTGAGCGCCAGGCATGCGCAGTGAGCGCCAGGCATGCGTGCTGGTGACGGGCCAGCGTTTCCCCCTGAACGAGACTTGCCAGAACAGGAGTCACTTCCAAGTGCTCACTGCGCATGCCTGGCAAATGAGTAATGGGAATGAGTAATCTGCCCAGACCCCTTAAACTGTAATCAGTCAGACCAGTTGCATTCCTTCTCCGGCATTAAACGTTCTTCCAGTGCCGGCCTTCAGGAGCGGTCTAAATTAAGCTGCCTGCTTCCTCTGAAAGACTCGGCGTAGCTGATGTGCTGCAGCCAGACCGTGGCTGAAATGTAAATATGTACTGGCGGGATATTTAATAAAATATTTGCAGTGG